TTAGCTAGCCTCCGCGCCCACTTGACATTAGTTCGTACCAACAGCAGGTGTGCAATTGAGATTTCTTAAGAGGGTGGGAGCATACCTCGGCGATAACGCATCATACCAATTTTAATGTTTTAAGAGCGCTGTGGTAAAGATGAAGACGTGGGCAGAATGGAGCGCCCCTTGACTGTGCTCCTCCAAAACAATCAAACATCAGCGACAGCAGGGTTTGAAGACTAAAATATTGTAGGCAGGAGTCGGTTTTTTCCTTTCGTGAGTTTGTGAGGGCCCTCGTTTGACACCCGTCTACCTTATTTGGTTGCCCCTCCCCTTCACAAATGTTTTGACCCCAATTGTACGAAATCTCCGGAAAATATAAATTTCACAGGGATCTTCTTCAGACATGACCTGCGGTTGATGACCGTTCTACTAAAATAAATAACTATTCCGTGCCACCAACTTGAAAACACTACTGTGCTTAAAAATCAAGTGGCCTAAGAGCCGGTAAAAATTATTTAGGGCGGGGTTAGGTTCACAGTTCCTCACAAGGGCGTAATGTCGCTGAATAATTTGTTTGGGAGTGCGGAAAATGGCTCACCATATCACAAAATATGTATTTCACCTGGGTCCTGGGCTTATCCCTAATCACTTAGAAAAGGTAACGCCCCCGCTTGCAGTAAAGAAGCACAAACCGAGCCAGTACGACTCTGCTTGATACTTCTAATCAAAGTTTGAAGGACTATTAATTGCCTTGCCTCCAATCACTTTGAATGCTGCATCTACCCTACGCTTCCGCTACGCCACGGTAATGGAGACAGCAGCGGCGGGGACCAATGACACAGGGCACCAGTGACGTCATTGCCCTGTGCTGAGTCACACGGGATTCCACCAATAGGAAATTCAATGATGCCCCCCCCCCCCTCTGTTTCACCCGCCAGCTGACACTGCCCACGTCGGACGAGCGCAGAAAAAAAACAAATGATGCCATGGATCATCATAAATACCGCGGTTTGTAAACAGAAACAAGATAAATGTATTGAAAGTGTCAAGGAACGGAACATTAGGTTCCCCAATACCAGCACTCAAGTGCATTTGTCATTGTATTCATCGTGCGTCCTACAGTTTTAAGCAGAAGTAAACACATAATATTGGCACTGTTATGGCAACCAGCGAAGCAGTGATTCAGTGAACCAGTATAATACTAGTGGTCTGTTACCATGATAGACACCTATATTCTACTCGCATACATGGGATTCATGCATCGTTCACAACCGGCGATAGCTGTCCCTGTTCGGCGTTAAGGTGGGTGTCGTCGCATGTCCGCAGTTTGATAGGACGAGTATACCTGCTTTCGCTTGCATGAGGAGAAACTACACCTAAAATTGAGACATTTCATAATCTATTAGTACAGCCATTTCATCCTGACAGTGACTTAGATGCCAGTAGACCTACTCACAGAAAATGATCACCTTGGTACCCTTACCTCCCCCCCCCGCAGCCCATCAACGCGCGAGCACAGGACGACGCAGGATTTCGATCGGATCGGTGCGGCTACCAAGGTCACTTACAGTGATGGATAATAGCGCAAAGGAATAAGTTTGCAGCACGCTTGGCTGCACGGGCCATGCGCGGCGTTAGAGATCAATAAATCCATCACCACCATCGCTGGGTTGCTTCCTCTGAGCGTTGTGTTCTGCGAGCTTGTTTGTCCTTCCACTTCCTCTGAGTACTTGTTTATTTTGCCCGGGGGGATTCTTGCAAGCCTCCTTCCTCTGCGAGCTTTGCGTCCGCAATCCATTTTCGCTACTGGCATTGCCTTAAGCTTACGATCACCTATTCTACAACGGGGTAGGCCATCGTTGATTTGTAGTTGTAATTTGCACTTTCAATCTTACAAATGCACCGGGGCTAGAAAAGCAGCTGGCCTTTATGAAACATGCCAAGGTATGGTTATAGACATTCCCGAGAGATTTGTCAATTTTTGTGTGTGGTTTTGTTGGTTTGTAATTTGTAGTTGTTATTTATAGGTTTCTGCTTTGAGAAACACATTTTTCCAACTACACATACAACTTTACAAACTACAATACAAATGTACAAAAAAACTGCATTTGTGAGAAAGGCTACCGGTTGGTTCTCGATCAACATGGCCAGGGACTTCATAGCACAAGGCTACTGTTTACTCTGTGTAACCAGATTCTAGTAGAAGCGTGGGGAGTTATTAACTAAGCCAAAATTGAACACGTTCTGTTGCAAAATCGGCTACCAAGCACGACTTAACGTCACCTAAGCGAACATCTAGTGGCGTCAGCGGCCGGATCTGGGCCGGCCCGCCAGTGGGGGCTAGACGCGGCCAGTCATGCTTGGACGGGCTGATGTCTCTGCAACCACCGATCGTACCGCCAACGGGCGGCGCAAACCTTCAAAGCGTCAGTGGTTATCAGAACGAAGATCTCGCTCACCCCGAGTTTGACTCTGCCTTTCTTTTAACGCGCGCTCGGGTGGGTGTTCATTTGAGCCCCCAAGGTTTCAATGTTATGGTTTCCGAACGGCGCGATGTAGCCTCGCCAAAGTGTGCATAGCTGTAGACAGTCGAATAACGTATCGTTTGGTACATAATATTTAGATGTAATTTTAAAGTCGCTGACCTACGGCAAGTCAAAGTCAGTCCATGGATCCAACGAAATCAATTCCAAGGGAATCATTCAATTGGGTGCAACAGCGAAGTGTTACACGAAGCTATACATATCTGAGATAATTTATTGAGCAACACAACCATTGAATGGACAATTTCCATTGACCTTGGGTCAGGTACGAAAGTCAGGCCAGGGTCAACACCGACATGCTTTATTACTCTAAGGCTTGCTGGATGCGGTAGCTGCTCATTTAGAACGTATTGATAACAGAAACCGCATTATTCACATTCCATGCACTTTTAAAGATCAGAATAGGTCACTGACCTAAAATGACCCAGATCAACGTTTTGTTTTTAGGAACATACTGCCTAGCGCAATCTTTGTGCTTTTTTCAAACGTAAAGCTCAAAGCAGTCTGGTATGAATTTGGTCGCTATGACCTTTGAAAGGTTAAACAAGGTCACTGACGTTGAACAATCATGCAACATCTAGCTTAGAACAGGTTTCTAGGTTCTGGGGGCACTCTGAAGACCAACCCGAAGTTTAACATTGTTTGACCTTATTTGACCCGAGGGTCATGACCTAGTTATTTCACACTTTGACATAAGTGATTTGACGCACCGGCCAAAACACTCTGCGATTGTGGTGTCTCTAGCTGTCTTGGTTCTTGAGATCTCAGGGGGTTCAAATCGACCCTCACCCGACGGCAAACGGTATTCAACCGGCCACCCGCGCGCGTGTTAAGACCGGTTTCGTTCTAATGGCATCAGTCGCTTTAGGCGATATGACACTTCTCGTCATTTCATTGTGAATTTGACTCCTATGTTCAGTTAGATGTCAGATGTTCGCATGATATTGTGCATACTATGCACCTTGGTTTTAGGTGTACCATGTCTGCCATGGATTATGTCCCCATGGCCCTTGTAAGAAAAATCAAGCTATGAATACCATTTAATTATATTGTGTGTGTCTCCATGTAACATGATTTTTAGAACTCAAGTGCTAGTAAAAATGCACATTTTTTGTTGGCATTTCTAAGTGGCAAAAGCTCGCCGAGTCTAGCCCACAACCTTGTGAAAACCCCCGGGTTCTGGACCTTGTGATCCGCCTCCACTTTTGGGTCACGAGGACCTAGTGTCATTTTGCTAAGTGTCTGGCTTAACACGAATTCGGCGCATCGAATCCCTGTGCACAGAGCCCCCGTGTGAGGCTGGTGTGGGCACCAGCCCATCCGTTTCCTTACCACTCGGCAGACGGTGGAGACAAAAACGTAGAGCTCTCGCCATCTGTCGTGATGAGACGGGTTCGATATTTGTCGGTGGAAGGACCCAAAAGTCGTTTTATGGCCTGGACCACCTCATAGAACACCATGCTGTACCTGAACCTGGCTAGTGAATCGCGATCCTCAGCTACTTAGAGGCGCCGATGCCGGAAACAATGTGCGGATGAATATTATGTTTCATCACAGCCACCTTCTCACAAGACAGTTTTGTTCAAATTGCGGCTCCTTCTTTGTTTTAACCGCTTAATGGTTGCCTACTGTACTGTCACGCGATATATAAATACCACCCCAGGTCTACCTGCATCGCGAAATATACAATGACGATAATTACCAGTGACATTTACTCAACTGCTCTACTGGAGCAGATTTGTCCTGTGTGCATGCACCAGGGTTGTCGATTTGTATTCTCCCCAGAGGTCATGCTTTTCCATGTTCGACTTGCCATTTCAACTAACCCCAGCGTCATTTCTTTCTGATGGTTTCAGACTTCCGAAATTCTTGCGATCCCGAAGACATTTTGCTGAGAAGTTCATGATATACACAATGTTTGTCCGTTCTATCAATGCTTACTGTATTATGTTACCGCGTCGCTGAATGAATGCAGTGCCACGGCTGCTGCACACACGCTGCGATCATGAAAGAACACTGCACCATACACACGCTGTCTCTTCACATTTGTGGAAAATGTCCACAAGCACTTCCACCAATACACACTGTATCTAACTAAGAAACATCAGACACTTAAAGGGTATACAATGACCTTTCACCAAAGAGCGTAGAAAAACGACCCCGTAAATAGGTTTCTTTGTATGATGAGCTCCCCATAGATTACATGACTGTGATGCCCTCCCAAAAGCCTCATCGATTTTACACACTGTATCTAAATCAGAAACATCAGACACCTAAAGGATATACAATGACCTTCCACCAAAGAGCGTAGAAAAACGTCTCCGTAAAGTGCTTTCTTTGTATGCTGAGCTTTCCATAGGTGATATGACTGTAATGCTTTCCCGAAAATCTTATCGGCGTTACAAAATATTACTCCTGGTTTCAAGCACAATAATGCAATAGCCCGTCATCTCTCAAAGAAGACCGCCGCCGTGAAAGGGTACAATATATTTCGGAAATCATAAGCTGCAAAACAAATGGAGACATATTCTCTTCATTACTGATCGTTAGGACACACATGTAAGGCCGCTGGGTGATCCTGCCTGTCAATGAGTCACAGAACTCAGTTCCTGCGTTGTGTGCCAAGATCGTTGTGCGAAGGGTAATTGCGCATCGACCAGCGTTCGCCGGTACGCCTCCACTATGTGTCCATGCCTCGATCTCAAACTTATGTTGCGCGTGCTAAAAGCAAAATTGCTTATACATCCCATTCACGTGTTGTTATGGTGAGAAAAAATCGCACGCCTCGTTTTTGTCCCTTTGGTGATAAAGCAGATAAAGACGACATTAGGCCGCATGCAACCTGAGGACTTGGATATACCTGCGGATGGTTTAGTCTGACAGTGGGATATTTTGGCCTAAAATGTCCCATCATCGCCAAAGAACTTATTCTGTTTGATCTAGAATATGAGTGCAGTGCGTTTGTGACCAAGCACCAGAGTACCCGCGTTAAAACGTTACCTAGCTCCTCTAACGAAGTTGCGATCCCATGAAAAATATACAATGGAGTTGAATATGCAATGAAGGTGGTACATGAATAACGCCATCTATCCTATTCAATGCCTTTTTTGTCTAAGATATGGTCTATGCGAGAATGATACCAAAGACGCTTTACAGGACATGGGTGCAGCCACGCCTCTGAAATTGGGGAGGCAAATGATGATCGGTAATCGTGAAATTGAAATACAGTGGACAGCCATGCCTGATATTTTACGGTAATGGGCTAACGATTAAAGGTGCATTGCGCCGAAAATTGGGATGGCATTCGCTTTAGGAAAAAATTGAGAGCATGTTTCCCCGCCCCTGGTGGTAACAACCAGGCTGCAGGATCTTAAAGGACGAAGTGCATACATCAAATGGGAATGTCTTGAAGGTACGAATGATGCATCATGGCTGATGGCTGTTTTCAAATCAAACATTGTTACTGTCAGCAGAGAAAATATGGTGCATACTCTGAAATTGCACCACAGTCATGCCGGAAGAAACACAAACCTTCAAAAAACTAAACATCTCTGTGCTTTTATGGCTGTTCAAAGCCATATTTGGAAATATGCAGCGCCCATCTCAATTTTTAGCCCGCGACGTCGGCATTTCGTACAAACCGAAGGCTTTCAAAGTGTGTGAAAACAACTGGACCGAAGGTGTCACGCAAATATATAAGAATATTTGCTACCACTTTTGACTGAATCGAAAATACACTTCGTCTGCGCGCTCTGTTATATCAAATCTCATTCACCATTCAGTGCACTCAGCGCTGACGCACGCACCAACACCCAACGCACGCAACACCCAACACCCAACACCAACACCTAACGACAGCATATGTCATGTTGGTCACGACAAACCTGTCATGACTTTTCCCCAACAAGGATCACACAGCTTCATCAGTTTCGCAGCTCACATTACGACCACTAGACACGTGCCATACTGACTCACTCTGCCCCCGATGTGTTCACCACGACATTGTTTCTGGTTGTCGGCCAGCAAAATTGATGGCTCGCCGCTCAGCGCTCTGCCAGCCCAGTCTGGTGAGCTCGTTAGTTACGTTCACAGCGCGCAGCTCTGGCACACTCCGCTGGTTGCACATGACGTCATTTTCTTATTGTAAGACGTAGCCTGAGACAACGCAAGCTACAGCTGTTTTCCGACGTCAGTCCATTTTCGAGGTGTCAATCACGCCGTTTGACAGTTTCTGGATTGCGTTGTTCACGGATTCTGAAAGGAGAAGCATGTGAAATGAAACTCTGTTGTATGGGGCATAACCTACGGGATCCTGCCGCTGTTGCTCTGCTTTCCGAATATGAAACATTTATACTTGAGCCATGACCTGGTCAGTTGCTAAGTAATATTCCAAGTAGTTTTCTTTCCACATATTGCAAGTTTCGGATGCGAAATCAGCATGTGAAGGTTGCATAGCTGTTCATCACTGCTGGCTTCGGATGGCATGATTATCTACGGCACAAGTGCGATGCGCTGACATTGCCTTAAGTCAATGAACGAGTGTATTCCATTAAGCGGGACTTTTCGTCGTGAACAAACCGCACAATTCACCTGATGACAAAACAAGCACATATAGATTTAAGTATATATTACGGCACCGTAAGCCGATTTCGGTCCAAATGACCCCGCGTCCCCGCCTGCCTCGCGCCCGGCGCACGTTTGTCCCACGCCCAGCCCACGTCTGTCCGCATCCGGTCCACCTATGTCCCACGCCCGATATCTGTCCCGCATCTGCCACGCGTCCGCTCCACTCACGCATGAGGGCGTCGAAGCAGGACACGTTGCGCCGCCAGAGAACGCACACGAGGTAGACGGGCACTCCCGAGAGGATGATGCCGCACGCCACGCCCACCTCCACCGGCGTCATGTAGATGGGGAACGTCACCAGGAACACGCACACCAGCAGAAACAGGATCGGCAGTACGATGTTAACCTGCGGACAGCCGGCGGTGGGAATGTGATCGCCAGTGGGAGGCTCCTCCGGCGCCGGCCAGCGGTGGCCAAGCACACTCGACCCGGCGACACGCCCGCGCGGTCGGGCGGGACGGGGGCGGGCGAGAGATCTGATTACGCCTGGGAGGGGTGGCAGCCGGTATGAGCACGGAGGTCACCCGACAGACGGGCTCACTCGACAACCTCACATGGGGACACAGCATTTGGGCGGTTCCGTACCAGACGACGCGCGCCAGCCCTATCAAGCATAAACACCAACGGAAACGTGACCGCATGAGCATAAACATCTGTCGCTCCTGAAAACCGGCGTCATTTACCCTTACGAAATGACCTAAGAAAATAAAGTGTTGTCTGCTGTTGTGTATGGTTTGCGTCTCTCTCATCTGTCATGCGTCTGATAAGCGGTGATGATGGACAAGAGCAATGCAATTGAATGAGCACAGACGGTCAGGTCTTCCCTGGCGATGCCCGTCAGCTATCCTATCTTTACTCGAGTTGTAGATGAAGGGTGATAGAAGATGTATCCATCTGGCTTCAACTGAAGACAGAGTCGTGAAACAGATACTAAGCGATAGCCTTTATCCATAGAATCCGGCGATATCCACTATGGCCTCTTCAGATCAGCCTTTGACCTTCCCGGACACGCTTACCCATGCGCTTGAGAGCTTTAATTCCAAAATTAGCTTATTTTTTAAAAGAACGCCACGTTTCAATCTTAAACATGCGAACGTGTTCTGAATCGAAATGAGCCCAGCCATGACGAAAGACCAAGGCAAGGTCAAAGGCGTTCATCATAAATCGCTGATTTCAGGTGACCTAGTAAATGTCAACCACCCATCAAAATGAACCTTTAAAACCTTTTTTGGTATTTAAGGATTAAAGTGACTTGTTTGCCCGTAAACAAACTAGCACTGAAAGGTGATATGTCTAAAAGTACCATTTACTGCCGAAGAGCGCTAAGAGCCGAAGTTTGGCAAACATGGTTTTGAAAGCCCTCGGAAGCTACATCAAGGGTCAGCGACCTAGCATGGCTACGAACCAAATTGCTTTGTAAAACGCACACAGTGAGCTCATTATCAGCTACGCTAAATGTCGCCGTGCTCTTGCTTATCGCTCTTCCCTGAGACTACAAAAGCCGCTTGGGATTTCCACCTATCAATAAATACGGCGATGGTTCAGTGATGAATAATGCTATTGATGCGAATTGACGGACGCTTACGGACCGAAACACCACTTTCCTGGATCTCACACTCAAAAACTCATATTTACCATTTGAACGGTACATTTTCAAAGAACCCACCGTCAGATGCTTCAATAAAAAAGGAAAGAAGTCTACTTAATATTCACATAAATACAAGAAATGCGATATATGCCTACGGAACACCGCTTTATTTGAGCTTCATATTTTTCGGCAACTGTGTTCGATAGCATTGTGGATTGTAATCAGAAGTATAGTGATGCGCTTCTAGTATATGCTATGTGTCTTCTATGATTACACTGAGACAAAGGTTGGAATTTCTACTTTATGGTCTTCGTTTATCCTTAGTATGACATTTTTCGTTTTCCAAATATGTTTTAATAATTGGGAAATCCCGTAATCCCAATATATGTTTTGGTTTTGCCACATGCGGCAAGCTACATGTGCCGTGCATTTTGTCATCACACTGGCTTTGTGTGATGGCTAATAAGATTTTATCCGTTCCGAACGCACGATTATATGTATTGTAATCGAGCAGATCCCCGAGGACTAAGGCCCCGGCCCGTTATAGCAATGCCATCTCGTTACAAGCACAAAAGCCTGGCCGCTATGCATATTAACGATATAACGACATAACGAGGCAACGTAACGATAGATACAAGTTGGTATCAACATAGTTGAAGTTTGATGAGCTGTAAAATGAGCATCGCTTAGTGTCCATAGTATTCCAATTACCCGAAACTTGCAAAATGACCAAGTGGCCGACGCGCTCAATACCATTCGTCATCAATCATACCTGGCAATCGCCAGCAAACAACTGTATTTTACATGCAATCAACAGTCCTCACGTTTCAATTTGCACACACCCGCATGCCCAATGAACTGCTTTCCTCCGTGAATAGCACAAGGCACTGCAGTGCGTTTCTATATCGGCACCTTATGACTGACGTGTGTCATAGGTGCAGGACAAATGCGACGGTGGATCGCTAAGTCTCATCCCAGGAGGCAACCCATCCGCAGACAGTCTGACCTTGATTGGCCTTGGCGCATCAGGCATTTTCCAGCGCAGGTAGAGAAGGCCGGCCGTCGACAGCATGATGAACAGGCTCTCCACAAAGCTGATGTAGTTGATGAGGGCGTACACGTCCGATGTCGCCAGCATGCACAGCGTTATGAAGCACTGGAGGCACACGTTGACGCGCGTTGTTAGGTTTATGACCTGAGTTGGCACAGGTACACCGTCACGAGGCCCGATAGCAGTAATGGGATCACGAGTATGGGTTTGGGTTCCGATGTTCCGATTTTTGTCATGGAAGCTGAAGGACAGCCTAGAATACTTGACACAAGCCAGAAAGATCCTGAGCTCCTGGTATCCAACATTTTGAGTCGACCGTTGCCTTGGCTGACGGTCACTGACCTTTGTACCGGTTAATCGATGGAATCAACGTTTGATATTACCGACATGAAAAATCTAGCCAATGTTTGATTTATAACATCAGTTAAATAGTCTCTCCTGGTATATTGAAGGTCAACCTTTACCCGCTTTAGAATCATAAACGCATACAGCTTCGAAAACACGTAGTATAGCAAGGGAAGACTTGACTTTCGAAAGTAATTTCCTCCTTTGGTAGTGACTTGATGTTCTCACAATTACATATTTCAACACCATGAAGCGCAGTTCTACAAATCTGTGCGTTTTAAATCGTTAGGTAGTAGTATACTAACTGTTTCATTGGACGGGGATTCCCTGCAACATTGCAGCATTACCACGATTGCATGTCCCTTTTTTGATTAATATGGAAATGGAACGGCCCAAAAATAATGGTTGGGAAAATGTAAAGAACGTGATCAGCGTGAAAAACGTGGACAACGTGAACAAAGAACGATGTGAACGTGAACACGGATACATATTTGGATAACCTAAGCGTCGCAGCGATCTGAAATGAACAATCTCCAACGAAGATGAATTTAACATTTGTATTTGCTTACAAGTGTGCCGATATTAGCAGACGATCACTGGCATACGCGGAAGTCGTGCATCAGTTCGCTATGAGAAAATTTCAGGATAACTGTCATGTTTCCAAACAGCTGGAGATGAGGGAAGTTTTAAAATAATAGGTGCGTCAGCATCTGACCGGACAGCCACCAAAGCCTCCTTTGAAATCGGTCTCGAATATTCAAGACGCTGTGAGCTAAGCCAAGAAATATTTGGCCACTGCAGTTGCCCTGGCGCGAGGGATTGTTTATTAACACCAATATAAAAGAAGTACTACTTGTGTGCTTTTTCAATGCTTCGGTAATAATTGTCCGGAACGTAAATCGTTGCAAATTCATCGATCGCTTCACTTGAAATTGTCAATCCTGACCCAGCTCATGACTGGCCTATTTTTTAAGTAGTTCTTTTCGTGAATTAGGCGCAAAGTTTAAATTAATGGACCTCTGCCGGTTACATTAGCACGAACGGTAAGATGGTCAGCCTCTTGGTCAAATCTCCTGGTATTGGTTACCGACTGCGTTTGACTGCATCATTGTAGTTATTTTGGCATTATCCAGTTGATAACACGTCAGGCTCTCGCGTCTATCATGACCCGACCCTTCCCGTGGCACGCAGTGGTCCTACGTGTATCTACGAATGTCTTCGAAAACCTTTTCCATGCACACGTAGCGCGGTTGAAACGGCGAAGGAGAATGTTGCCGTTGCTGTTTCTCCTGATTTTTTTTTAGAAAATTGCGAAGTTCATATTGTAACAATTCAAAAGGCATCGGTTTAAATGAACACCACACGCGAAACAGAAGTAAAACTCGCTCTCAGTTAGCTGATGTGAACTATGCCACGAATTCTAGAGTCGTATCGTTGCTCATCGGTGCATCACATTTCAGCCAAAGGGCCGCGCCAGCATCACAGCCAATGGATCACGAAGCCATGCAACATTCAGTTTAAGGCCTATCAAATCTGGAACAACTCCGTAACCAGTCGATCAGTTATTGAATTGAACCCCTGGTCAGCAGTGTACCTTGCGCCATGCAGCCTGTCCACAAACTACAAGTTACCAAGAAGACGAGAGATGGCACTGGCGTCAGACGTTTGACGTTGATCATGGCTAGCGCGTGCGGCAGGCAGCCTTCGCGAGCTCCAACGAAGAACAGCCGAGACGATGCGAAGATGCCGCCGTTGAGGCCACCGAAGGTGGAGCACGCCACGAAGAACGGCATCAGCCAGCTTGCTGCTCCAAGCATACGGTTTCCGAACGTCTAAAAAGCAGCACAATGTCACAGTTCGTCTAACATGGCACCGGCGACCTGAAATCAGAAAGAAGTGGCAAAATCTAAAAAAAGTAAACAATTATCTCTACAAAGGTGTAGCAAAGGTAGGTGAACAGTTGACTTATTTCATCTAAATGGAAGTCTGTCTGATTCATTAACTCCATCCTTTAATGCTTTGCTTGCATTGCATAATGCATTGCTTCATTCATTGTCGGTTTCGGCTTGCTTCGCATTTTACCCTAATTTCACGAAAGTTTATTTCCGTCAGGCAACTCAACTGTTCCGCCTCATCACTATGCAGCGTGCAGTAATCATGACGACCAGCACTCAGAGGCTACCTTAGTTTTCAGCCGGGTCACGGTTCCCCGGGACGCCTCTCAGCATCCCAGAGGCTACCCCAGTTTCCAACCGGGTCACAGGTGGCTCGGGACACCTCCCAGCTCACATGCAGCTCCGGCAGTTGCCTCAGCGAGGGCCGCGCCCCACCGCGACAAGGTGGAGCGCGGCGCGTCACCCGGCTCTGGCGGCCGGAGAATAGCCACCGCCCAGGGGAAGGGGCCACTGGTGGTCTATTTGGCGTGGGCGTGGCGATTAATTGGGAGTCAAAATGGAGCGAAGGGATTGAAGCCGTCTTCAGGGAAAGGTGGCTGATAAAGGCTGAAGGGGAGCCATGCCTCTGAAGGCAGTGGCCTTGGGTGTACCAAGGGAATAACCAAGCGCCGTATCAAGATGCGGTGGAGCACGGGACGTTCGTGCTTTGGGAACCGTAGCGTTGTGTGTCGATTCCATCAGGTGATGCGTCTTGATGCAACTGCGTTTTCTACTCAATCTCAGATGAGACAAACATTATAAAAGCTAAGCTGCCTCTAACCAGATGCTGCGCTGAGCTACCAGTAACCGCAGCCAAAACGGTTGAGATTCGACGTACACCGCATATTCCGAGGCTACTTCGACATCAATCCGCATATTTTCAACGCGTGTAACTACCAGGTAACTGACCCTGTACGCCCCCTCACCCGCCAACTTCGCACACACGCTGTCTTCCCGCGAACAGGACTGTGCTGGTGGCGCCCTCCCTCCCTTCCCCCCTCCTCACGGCGCTGCGGTAGCGGCGGAGCCTGCGCCCAAGCTGGACTCACCACGGCCACGGCGTTCGAGGCCAGCACCTCGTGTGGGGAGAGCACAGCGAAGTACGCCACGTTGGCCAGCAGGTACACGATGGTAACCAGCGGCAGCGAAATGTAGATGGCGCGCGGCAGGTTTCTGAAACCCGACGCCAGGTGGCAGGGTTGGGGCAACGCACACAACACGGGTCTAGTCGGGACTAGCTGCTAAGGATTGCACCCGCACACATTGCTTATTGGAAGGCAACGAGAGGCTCAACGCTCGCCCACCGGAATAACCAGTCAGCTGATGATGAAGACGAGCCGGCCCGGTTTCCAGCTGAATTATGGATGCCTTGAAAGAAGAGTGCGCTGATGCATGCAGGCTCGGAATCGTTGATACATTGGCATTTTATCACCAGGCTGCATTCTACATGTGTGAGCACTCAGCCTATATTCTAAAGAGTCACGTATAGTTACCTAAACGGATCCTGGAGCTCTTCCACGACGAAGTTTAGGTAGTTCCTGCAAAGGGATAAAGAGCCAAGTAAAATTTATACCTGCGTGTCGTCATGCCTGCACAATTGCAATTTTACAACCAAAAGGGGCCCACAAATAATCATGAAATAGGTTAACATAACAGGTCATTGAATTGAAAAAGTACGCTCCATATGTCACACAATCGTTCTATGTCACCAACGTGCATAAGCAAGTTGCTGGCATAAGCACGTTGCACGTGGTTCAGTTACACCAAGGCATAATTAATTCGTGACGACGCATGTCGCACAGTACGTCCAAGGTGGCGACACAAATCCTTCATGCGGTAGACCCTAAATTCTCACTGTGCAATTCAGGATATTCTGGGGAAAATGATCTGAAGTGAAACAGTTCAGGAGAGACGTCTCCAAACCAGATCAGATTGCGATAACATGGACCAGGACGTGCACACATCATCTGAATACCACCATAAACTGAACAGCGGCTAAAAATTAGTTTGCGCTTCTTTCAAAAATACCGTCGGTCAGTGACGAAGTTCAACTGTGGACTGAGGTTTTTCAACAGCAACACCGAGTGAAACACACCTAGATCATCTGATTTTACAAAAAGTTAGCAGGCACAATTACTGGTCATGCATAGCGGGGTTCATTAAGCCTACGAAGTAGACACTAACCCTCTGCTCAACTCGTCCAAAGTAAGGACATGTGTGCCGTGAGCTGTGGGTGGAGCTGTGGGTGGGTTCCACGGCCCAGTGGCCATCGAGCCTCGACTGGTCGCCTGCTGATGTAGGTTAATGTCTGCCGTGTTTACCCTGGCATGTCGGGTGGATCCGTGGCTGGCCTCAAGCATGGCAGGCACGTGGACTGGACACTGCCAGACGTTGCATCGCGCTGGGATCGCTCACCAAGCAATCAGCCGAGGCTTTTGTCCGGACCGCAGGCACAGAACGGGAGAAGGATTGATGACTGTGTCCTGCGAGCCGGGTCTGCTTACCCGGACATTGCATGCAGGCTCGCAACGAAGTCGACATATTGCGATGTTTCAAGCATTACGCAGATCAGCCACCGACCACAGGCAATAACGTCAGCGGCCATTTGACATATCTGCTGAAGATGACTAGCATTCATGCATGAAGCTCAGAGGAAGTTTAAGAGGGTGTAACCAACTGCCGTAGAATCCTGGATTGCTGTGGTCCGCGCCATTACGTTGGTATCAAGAATATCACATTGTTGTGGTCGTCAAAAGATTGGTGTAAGCTTCTGAATCATGTTTGTGACCGTCAAAATGGCATGGTGCACACACTGACGTAATAACGCAACTATGTGAACTCCGTGCACACAGCGCCGGCGACACTCCACGACCCATCCGGCCAAGTCTAAACAGCAGCCCATCCTGGCTGTTGAGCAGCGGTGAAGCAGCTTCTGCTTTACCGCGCATAAGATTAGTGACAGAAGCTGACACTTTTGCGAACCAGCTGGTGACAAAACTGCGAAAATGAAAACAAATTTCGACAGACCAGCCAAATTACAAGAGATCATACCAGCCAGACGACACCCTAGGCTTAGCATTGGATTGTACTCGCTAACGCTTGCAGAGTAAGCATGTGTAGAGTACAAGTCGAAACGTTGGCGTTTCTCTGTATGAGCAGGTTGAACCATAAGAAGCTGCCAAACATAGTAGCTTTAATCACGATAGTTTTTGGCAGGTGGCAGAAGCATACAACAAGCTATGCTGCATCAGTGCTGACGTCACAGATCAGTGATGACACTTGCTTTTCCAATGCCAATCAGATCAGTGCTTTTCACAAATTTGTCAGCCAAGATTCACTTCACATACTAAACAGTATAAAATACCAAATAACTAGCCTTACTATTAGTCGTAAGAATTGTGTCTGGCGACAGCATCTTACGACGAACGTTATCAGCTTGCTACGCAACGTTTTAAAGCGCCATGCTATGTGAGACAGATGGCCCGATTGTTCACCACGCGGTATTGCGTTGGGTTCAGTGCAAGGCTGGGTTCAGTGTTGTTGGTTACGTCCACGTCATGAGAAGGAGGCTGGCCAGAAGAACGCAGCTAATCGCCCATTTTTAAGGTAATAGCGTTAGAAAGCCTTGTCGGTCCAGGAGGACTGTTGTTTGTAGATACCCTAGATGGAGCTTCAGAGACAAACGGAGGTCTTTGGAGCGACACATGTTAAGAATTTATACGGGGCTTCCTGCTGCTGAGAGGAACAGTTGCTTTGAGGTAACAGGCTGAGCATCGCTGGTGTAGGCCTCTCACATCCCCCTTGCACCTCAGACTTCACGTACTGACCAGCGGACAGACGTGAGATAAAACGCTTGTAGTTGCCGCCATATCGCATTTAAAGCTGAATGAAAGTGCTAGAAGTTTTCAAGAAGTGTTGCTTGGACCTGTTGATGCTAATCGTTCACGGGGTTTTCTTCAAATAATTGGAATCGGGTTGAGAAACGCGAATGCTGCACCAGCAATGATTATGTGAAGATAGTGAAGGTCGCCAACGCTTCCAGCTGATTGTACGATGACGTCACAAAACCAAGAGTGATATTGTTTCAGGTGCTTGTAGAACCATGTGATCGATAAATGCAGGGATGCAGTTTTGCAAAATACGTAGGAGTAAGGGAGGCAAGGGGGTGGGTGCAGGAACAGAAATAGCTTAGCCTTTCCGAAATGCATTTCGAACAATTTTCTCCCCAGATTTGACGCACTTTCTCTTCCCTGTTGGGGCCAGGATTGTAATTTCTCAGAATTAGTTTTGGAGGCGTATTCCCTAATAGCTATGAAAATTGAAAAATAAGGGACACAAATTATAAGTATTAATAGGAAACTGCAGCCCTGGTTAAAAGGCACAATCCCCCCCAACCCGCAGCCGAACAGGAAACTACACACTACACTACACTTTAGGCTGGTTATTTTAAAGTATGCCTTTATCAGTTAGTTTTATTGGTCTAGTTTTAACCACCATTCTGTGTTTGATGGCCGAAAAATGACACTTAAGTGCAAGTGAACCCCCAAAACGAAAGTGTTTGATGGTTATACCGCTTTGCATTTACTTTGTCCTTGTTTTTGTGGTTTATCGCATGTGGATATATTTTGCAACGATTTCAAGTCCTTTTCACCCCTGCTATTGAGAGGCATCAAAGATAAGTGCGGAAAAAGCAATAAGTGGCTTAAATTTCCTACAGCCTGCTTAACGGGCACTAACGGGCACTTTTAATGGGCACTATTTCATTGCTTCTGGGATGATGTCCTGGCGTCGGCTTCATTTCTTTTCATATTGGACATGAGCCATCCGAGCATTTGAAGAAGCCATTCTGGTAACGAAAGAACCGTTCTGATGACGTAAGGGACCATTCTGATAGCGTAGGGAAAATGTGGTAATCATCCTACACACTCCCCAGAATCTGAATGGAGGGATACGTTTGAGAAGTGGATTCCCCTCTATTTCATTCTGCATGATTCTGCTGTCACCGCTGCACGCCTTGCTAGACAATGAAATATTTGAAACTCTAGCCCACTGACACTGAAGCGCATTACCACAGTCAGCCGTCAACCGCCATGCTCTTCCACAGCCCCTCAACACCCTCCCAGGCTGCGCGAACGCCAAACACCCTGGGGTAGTTCAGGTAAGTAGCCGCAGTTTTCCTGAAGGGAGCATCATATTTTCTCCGAATCCTGCGAGCTTGAACTCCCTGCGAAGTCAGCCAATACCAACTGCAAAACTCTTGACTCAGAAGGGGGCCAAGGTCGCGTCGGCCGTCCCTTCGGCTTCGTCCCTGGCGGCAGTATGGGGCGCCATGCCTCTGTGCTCTCACCAGCCAGCGTAGGAGAACATGCCCGAGTACAGAGCGAGCGCGATCCTGCCCGGGTCCAGCCGGGTGCCCTCGAACGGTTGCTGGTATTTGCTGAAATCGCCCGTGCCCAGAACGTACGCCCCTGCAATCGGAACAGACATAAGTGATACAACAGCGAGCTGTCCACGGCCATGATAGCGGCCGTGGTGAACATGCACCTTCTTCCTTTGGCGCTGTATTAGATCCCGTAGATATCCGTCTGGTTACAGTTTCTGCATTCCTTACCAAATGTTATATTTGCAGATGATGGCCTGGGAGGGATTAGTTGAAGAACTCGGATGGTGATGAAACTTGCACTTTCAAAATCCAATGTTTTGCAGCCGAATTATTGCCAGTCATAAGTAGGTAATAACACTGGTAATACATTACTGCTAATGCATCCCGGATCCGTGGGCAGTTTTAGCATTAACGAGTCAGTTCTGGGTCAAGCACCTACTTATACGCTCAGCAGTCTGATGCGCTGGATACAATCATGCAATTACGGTCGGAAACGGTAGACTGTGCTGCAGGCGAGTACGAAATAAGACGCCTAGGCATATCTAATGACGTCTGCGTACGGCTATGTAAAGCTGTGCACGCCATAAATGCCTGTCATGTTTGACTACGTCAAACCTCTTCGGCACATACGTTATGTCTATCTTAAGTGCAGTCCTTTTCACTGTATCTTCATCAGAAAAAATCATATTAATGTCTCCTCGCATTTTCTCTCCTCCTCTTGCGTGTTCTTTTGCAATTGCATTTTAAGCTGTCTAGGGTGTGGGGTGTGTTTGGATTTTTATACGTAGCCTGTCAATAGGGAAGTTTCCAAAACATGCAGAGGCGTGTAAAAGACCGGTTTGTTGGGCGACATCTAAGACGAATAGCAGGCTACTTAAGGTGAACGCACCACTCAAGATTGTCTCACAGTGAACTAGAATCGCTTTTGAACTAGGGTAGGAGTGAAAAACTATCTTGCAAAAAAACCGTACGGGAGTGAAAAATTCGATCCAAATAAGCTGGAACTTATGCGTCAGCGAAAGATGTCTCAGCAAACAAAGACAACGTTCCAAGTTGGCATGGATGTAATATCATAAACATGACAAAACTTTTGGTTTTTAACATTATAGATCATTTAAGTAAACAGAAGACATTAAAGAATAGTTATTTCATAACATTGTGATCAGCATCAAAAACTATGTAACACCAATGTTTTGATGCGGTACTTTGCACCTAACTTCCATAGGATTTTTTACCACAAAACAAAGCAAAGGAATTCAACAACACAACAACAAAAAATACAACAAGCGTAAAACATTCAAACAAAAAAGCCTAGGACAACAGCACATTAACACATCACCAAGTCAAACACAACAGACGTAACTCTGGCTTCTCTTCAGATGTGGTCAGGAAATACAACTAGGATACCATTGTTTCTAGCAAGATACTAATGCTTTTTCAATAAAATCCATCGTACTAAGCCTAACCTGAAGAAGTCTCACTTCATCTTATCCCGGCTAACCTATTTGTATCACAGCAGCATTTGTGAGTCACTGACTATTACAAAATTCCTACTGCCACTTGTCATGCAATTAACCAGCTTAACCGAGCTTAGAATAGCCCATATGTTGAACATCATTTCAACTCACCTCGCCTATTTCTTGGCAGCAGCAGCTTTGATAAAAACTTGATAAAGCGTATTTTTGGCTGGCTTTAAGTAGCGTTTTGGTTTAATTTATTTGTGTCAGATTGTTCACAATACACACAACAGAACACCTCAAATCACTTTGAACAATTTATTCTGACTGCCATGGTTAGCCTCCGTCGAGGGCAATAGTGGGTATGCTCCACAAAGCAATCTTATTCGCAAATAACATAATTAACAGGTGGCCACAAAACAAAGTCAGCTTACATGACCATTGGGCGTCTGATATTCCATTTAGCTAACTGGTAGCATGTGCGCACAGGCACAAACGCAAGACATCGAATAACAATCAAATTTACCCTCTTAGTTAGCATTTCTACATCCTTTACTGCAAAACTAAGTGAACAGTGTGTTGAAATATTTGTCTCCGGTATTACAAGCCAGGTTACCAATCATCATAATCTGATCAGCGTTGGATGAAATAAGAAACAATACATTGTGCCAATCTCAAAAGTGATCATCCCTGAGACCACCATTGTCGTTTTGGAGCTGTTTATGTAAAAGTGTTGTCATTTCTGATTGTGGTTAGTACCATCAATGAAATCTAGACAAGGTAAAGAGGTAGTTTCGGAAGCCTCATAGAGAGGTGAAGCTCATCTCACACCATGATATTCTCCTGCCAATAATTAACGTGCATGGTATGCTACCATATATGGGTGCCTTCATTCATCCGTTTTTGCAACACCCTGTCGTATATCTAATGAATACACGATATAACAAAGTGTTTTCCTGTGACTCTTTTTCGCTGCCGAGTGGACCGGAACGTCCAACAGCATGCATTGATTTAATAAGCTAAGAGGGGGGTCCCTGAGCCCTTGAGAACTTACCGGCCGCTATGATGATAATGAGAGCGATGATTTTGGCACCAGTGAATATTTCTTGAACCATAGATGCCCACTTGACGTTGTAGCAGTTAATGAATGTGAGGAAACCTGGCGAACACAGAACAGACATCACTGTACATATTGCGCAAACTGCCTGTTCCAGAGATGCTGGGCAGAGCTGTTTTTGCTATTTGTTTAACACGCACATTAAAGGCCTCTGCAAAGCACGAGTGCTCTAATGAGCTTGGGCCATGTGCATGCTTTTCAAACCATTTCAGAAGCTGTTATGTCTAGAAATGAAAAACAATCAAGTGACTTAGGGCTTCAAGAAAATTGTTTGTGTAGAAAGCTACTTGTTTCTAAATCAAAGCAACAAATGCTGCCTCTGTAAAGTAGAAAAAAAACAAGCCAAATAACCTGCAATTTTGCTCGGGTATTTGCTCTAAGATATCATCCGTTTGAAAGTAAGTGCAATGCGCTCAGCCAGAACCGGTGTGGTTAAGAAAGCATGTAATGAGCAAGTCAAGACTCAAGTATGCGACATCAGGACAAACACTATTTTCTTTGTCGCCTGTAATAATATTGGCTAATAGCTTCCATGCTGTGGGCAGATATCATGACTGTTTTAAAAACAACACGCTGGGATGCTGGCATTTCAAGGAAAACAAAAATAGATCAGTTTCCTTGGCATGTAGGCCTTCACAAAATCCAGGCGTCTGATTTTGCCTTTTCCGCGCCCCGGGCGTGTGTTAAATGTTTGCAACAGCCCAATGAAAACAGTGTGCAACGATTAAGGTCAAGCATTGCGCACAGAATGGTCAGAACAGTCTCCACGCTGCATGCTCCATCACGCGTGTTATGACAAGTGAATCGGGAGTTTCGTCTTCAACATGTCATGTCAGCGAGACCACTTCGCACACGCACTGAGCAATGACATTTCCACGTTGCACCATCACCATAAATAATTCTGCATAGGCATCCATGAATGTTACAGAACTGCGTTCCATAGTATACATGCAAGAAGGTAACCCCCTTCCGTGAACATTCTAAAACATTTCGAACCGTCATACGCTCTGACACGCTCGCCATGCCCTGCCCCCCCCCCCCCCCCCTGGAAATTCGACCCGTTCCGTGCGCACGCACCGAGTACCCAGCGGCCACCGATTGGCCGGGCGGTGGCCCCCGGCGGCGCGCCCGGCGCCTCCCAGACGCGGTCCTTGCAGTGGGCGCCGGTCGCGGGCAGCCGGCCAGCACCGTGCAAGGGCAGCCTGACCAGCTCCGTGCAAGGGCAGCGTGCAGCCGGCGGCGGCCGAATTCGCGGCAATTCATCACAGCTCGATCTCAACAAGAAGTGACGCGGCGGCCATCAGCGCCGTTTGGCCGGCCGGCCGTGCGAAGGCGAGCCGTGATCGCGGTCTCAACGAGCTTGTTTGTACGCGTGACGACGCCACGCCGCGGCGGCGATCGGCGCCGAACCGTGCTCCCGCCGGCCCCGCGTCCGCTGCCACCGAGCGTGGATTGCTGGCGGCCGTTGACCGTTATCGGGCATTGACTGCCGCGGGTTGCCGACGCTCGCTTTAGACGTAGTGACCAATCGTTCAGCATTCGTGCATATAATGATAGCGAAATCTATCGTTCGCGTCCATTCATGCTTTTCACCAGGTCACCTTTAACATGCGATCACGGCACCAGCTATGCAATGTTGCATTCGCTGTGCTGTCAGATTGCCCGTATAAAACTCGCATCAATTAGGGCGCTTACCAATCTAGTAACGACAGCAACCACGGGGTTTATCAGTCCAGCATTCACAAGGCGACATGGCTTACGGCACAACGCCCATATATATCCCTTGTGGACGGTTAACTACTCAAAGAGGACCATACTTTCCAGAACAGGATACAAACATGACGATAGCGGCCACTATCAAGGCACTTATAAAGCAGAGGCTGCTAGTGCAGTTCTCACACAGCACCACGGGATTTGCCCCTGCAATACTCACATATCACCATGGCGGCCACCAGGCGTACCAGATCATCTGGCGGGTGGCAGGTGGTGTATATGGGCTGCAGGATGTAGTAGGCGAACGTCAGCGCCTGAATGGCGTTGCCGGTCGGCATGATGATGAGCAGCGCCACCCAGATGAAGAGGAAGGCCGGCAGCGGGCCGAAAGACTCGTGGATGTAGGCGAAGTCGCCGCCCGAACGAGGGATCATTGTGCCTGTTGGCAGCCGGTGGTCAGATAAAGCCACATATCATGGAAGACGATGGGGGCAGACAGGGTTTGACGAAGAAGTGAGGGAGTTGGCGATATAACAAGAAAGGAAGAAAGGAAAGGTAAGGGATGAGAGAGAGAGAGGGGGAGAGAGAGAGAGAGAGGGAGAGAGAGAGAGGGAGAGAGAGAGAGAGAGAGAGAGCGAGAGAGAGAGAGAGGGAGAGAGACAGGGAGAGAGACAGGAAGAGAGACAGGGAGAGAGAGAGAGAGAGGGGAGAGAGAGAGAGAGAGAGAGAGAGAGAGAGGGAGAGAGAGAGAGGGAGAGAGAGAGAGAGAGAGAGAGAGAGAGAGAGAGAGAGGGAGAGAGAGAGGGAGAGAGAGAGAGAGAGAGAGAGAGAGAGAGAGAGAGAGAGAGAGAGAGAGAGAGAGAGAGAGAGAGAGAGAGAGAGAGAGAGAGAGAGAGAGAGAGAGAGAGAGAGAGAGAGAGAGAGAGAGAGAGATACAGAGGGAGGGAGGGGAGGGAGGGAGAGAGGTTGTTGGGTGAGATGGAGCAGATCTTAACGCTGTCCGGACAAGGAGTCGACTCACAGTTTGCCGAATGCTCTTATATTGACCGCTAAATGTCAACTTCCATATCGGCGAAATGTAAAAAGGTCGACGTGCTAAAAAGTTGATTCGGCTGAATGGCGCACTGCAAAATGGAGGCACGAAAGAATGACGACAGGTCAAGCTGGCGAACTTCTCAATGGCGAACTGCGAAATGGCGACATACCAAAACGTCTACATGTCCAAATAACGAACGATTAAATGACGAACTGCAAAATGACGACATGTAAAAGCGCTGGAATGCTAAAATCGTCAAACGGCTAGGTGATAAACTGCTTGATGGTCACGTTTGAGTAAATAGCGGTGCCAACATGGCTATAAGCTAGAAGCTGAATGTCAAATCGGCGAACGCCTTTATGGTCAACTAACTAATGGTCATGCTTGAATGAGTGGTGATGGCAGAGCGACGATCAGCTGACTGCCAACATGAAGGAACAACGAGCTGAAGTGGAAGGCGCAGACGCACTGCGCTTTCGCGGGGACGTAGAATGCGGAAGCCCTATTCGATACTTTATGACCGATGCGTCGAGCGGGACCCTATTTGCCGGCGATAAAACGGCTCTCGTTTCTTCCCTGCCGCGGGAACAAAGTGTACAAGGCAGAAAGGCACGAAAATGGCACGGATGTAAACTATATCCACGATGATTAACCCTCTTCCTTATTCGTTGTTTTCGAAAAAGCGGACTGATAGGGGGTCAACACGACCCCTCTGCTGTAACCGGCAGAAAGAAGAAGTGAATTGGTATCAACGGGATCTCGCGATTGGTAATAACTTTTATGTTATTAGGTAACGAAGATATACCTTCATGCCAGTTCAAAAGTCAATTATTCCAGAAAATCTACCTTTTTCAGCTTTGAATGTTCACATGCACCAGACTTCGTCTCTTAGCAACTCTTAATCTAAACAGACATGTGTCTCGTTCAGTGGTGAGTGCAATGGTGTATCGTTTTATGTATTTTGACCAAATATTTATGATAAAGCGCTGACGGCTTATTTCGACTGAGACACCGGCATACAATCGTCCTGACACACCTTTAGGTGCCTATGTGCAGATGCCAACACGCCGTCGGGCTCAGCACACACGTGTGGCAGTTGTCTCGCGTATCGCATGCTGTGTCAATGGCGGCCAACTGGCTGGCAAAAACGGCTCCATCGTGCAAAAGTGAGCTCTAGTTTTCTTATTTAAAACAAGTCGCCCACGGTATAATGCTTTTCAAGGTTTGTGGTGAGTATTTTTGGGTTTTGCTGTTTTAAAAGGCATAAGGACCTGGTTGGGTGGTAGTGCAGAACATCCCGGTAAAATGTGATCCTGTTCTGCGCGACGCGTCAGAGGAAGAGGTCAACACGTGAGAGGAAGACATCAAAATGATGCAGGTGTAGTGCCCAATTCATGGTGACGGTGTTTCGTAAGTTGATCAGTGCGTTTGCGAGGAACATTGTTCACAGACATAAGACAGTAGTAATAGCTTTATTCCTCGGAGAAAAACCAGGAGAATGAAGGTGTAGATGGGTTGCTATCTCGGCAACATCCCTTTCTCGAAACAATAGCAGAAGTGACTTTGTAATTGCCTACCGATGATTCTACTCGATTTTTCAGGTTTTTTTTGTGGAACAGCACGCCGCAGCTTTTACCGAACACCAACATTAAGGGCATTAGACAAAGAGCGATTGCCATTACCACGATACAGTGCATGTCTAAGAATTAGAATACGCAAAAATACGTGTAAATGCAAACGAATTCAAGTAAACAGGCATCACGCATCATGCTTCATTTCAACATGCAATCAAGCTGAAGTAAATAGGCATCACACAACGCGCGTCAATTCTACATGCAAGAGATTTCAATTGAACAGGCATCGCACATAACGCGTCAGGCACCACTTGCACATGTAAAGATTTTAAGCAAGCACGCATCATGCATAAAGGCACATATCACGTCCGCTTTATTGGCCATGATGAACCCTGTACATTAAGATTTTGTTGCTGACGTTTTATAAGAGTACATTCACTTATTTTTCTGTCTGGGCGGTCCTACACTCTGTAGACGACTTTGATCTCTAAAACGAGCATAGTTGAAATTGAGCGTGGTGCGTAATGCCTGTTTGCTTGAGTTCGTCTGCATGTACACATATTTTCGCGTATTCTAATTCTTAGATGTGCACTGGATCGTGGTAATGGCTGGCAAATGCTTTTTTTCAATTCACTGAATGTTGGTGTCCTGTAAAAACTGGTTTGCTGTTAAAAAAGAATCAAAAAAATCGAGTAGGATCATCGGCAGACAATTCTGAATTAACTTTACTTATTGTTTCGATAAACGCATGTTGCCGGAATATCAACCCATTTATATATCCATTATCTTGGTTTTTCTCCGAGGAATAAGGCCACTACTACCGTCTCACCTATGAGACGGTGTTTCGAAATACATCACTATTGCCAAAAGCATTAACTCCCGGAAATTCGCGTATTCCCTCTGTGCAAAAACTCCCGCCCGTCGGCCGGCCTTCTGCCACTGTGAACCAGCTGTTGAGTCGAGTGCTTCTGCCGGAGGTCCTACGCACGGCGAATGTAATGATGCGGGCGTGTGACTGAGCATTCTGGGGTCGTGGCAACGCGGGACCGAAATGACTCAACTGAGACCATACATGCAGTCGCGCTGACTCACAAACGCGTTCTTGTGTACAAGTGGCCATTCACTGTCGACCACAATCAATATGTTCGCTAATTATCTCACGCATCGTATGATATGTAAAGAGTAAGTTAATCTGGGGACATTAGGTGTGCACAGCAAAATGTAGTGAACGTCTCAGAGGCTGGTTAGAAAATGCCATGACAGCGTTTCGAGTTGCCGAAGCCGATGACTGTCCTCATTCGAATCTGGGCATATGGCGCATGACACAGTTGGCCCAACAGCACCCGTGTTTTTTCTACCTGCAGCCGCGATCACATGTGGGTTTAAGGTGCCCGTAATCCCGGTGTAGATTGATAGCGCTATAGTTTGTGGCCGTATAGCCCCGGCCAGAATGGGCGTATGGCTTTTACCTATTTGCACGCTTCTACAGAAGATGGTTTTTGGACGACAAAAGATTCGCAAGGCACGTGGCAAGACACATAACAGTACTGTCGCGATCACTCCACCACCCTTTCTTACTATGACACAATTGCACACAATTTGAGCATTGCCGCATGGATCGCGCCACTCTGCGTATCAGAAGTGTTTCCAAAAGTACATTTTCAAAATGTGCCGAGCGTCGAGGTGCATTTTTGCAATAAATGTCTTAAGAAATATCGATTGACGACGTGGAAGAGTTCTTTTACTTACTTTCTCTTAGCTGTGACTTTCAAAACATGCTCCCGTACAAATAAACGCTTAGGAACATTAGTATGGACTCTGCCTGTGGGCTGAATCGAGCAATTATTCATACACCATCGTTGGGAATTATTTCCAAAGTCAGGTAAGATATTAGATGGCATTAAACTTACAGGCATTGTCTTGTTCGAAGCACTGTCCATCCGCAAACAAGGCCTACTGCATCACTCTTACAGTACTTTGCAAATCATATTTTATGCTGTGAAGGCTGAAACCTCGGTCTTTCTTTAACATTTTTATCTCAATTCTTGTGCATCCGCAAAATGGCCTACAGCGCTTTATAGAAAGTACTTTATGTTGCCAACACTCATACTTCTGCGCTTTTCTAACTTCGTCTACCGTCTCAGATATTAAGGACTATTCTCCATCATTTCGACCAATTTGTCTCATTTCCCATTGAATGAGGGCTTGGTTATTGATTCCTATATGCTGATGGGTTTATGTTGGAACCCTATACAAGTAATATCGCGTAAACACCATCAGAAACGATACGTGGGCATGCAAGGTTTATGGTACTAAGAGTCTGTGCCTCGGTCTGTTGACCAAAGACGGAGCCTAAAATTGTTCTATGGTTGAGTGGTATACAACGAAGCTGCGCATTTGACGCGTTAGAAGATTCGAACCCCACCCAGTTCTTGACAAGCCGGCGAATGAGCGTGACATTTTTCACAGATGAAAACGGACAATTTGTAGTGAGGAACGTGTTGGGCGATTGCGACCAAGGTACTATGACATTCACACCTTTATTGGATGGATATTAGTCACCGCGAGCTGTGTTTTGCGTATGTATCAATTTCGCCTCAGATTGCCTGGTTCAAGTGGCAGATTATATTCCACATCAATTTAGAAAAACTCGACATTGATCGTTTCCCGGCTGATTGCTGGCGTTGCTATGTCTGTCTGACGGCGTTGGGCTGTCTGGGCAGTGGCGCAGGAAGGGGTGGGACACAGGGGCATGTGTCCTATCCCTTTAGTTCCTGAGGGGCCCAAAGAACCTGAAGGCCTGGTCGAAGGTCGTATTAAGGGACCCGG